CTGGGGTCACGTGACCCCATCCAGATGCCTGTCCAGCTTTCTCTTAAAGACTCTCAAGGTAGGGGAGAGCACCACCTCCCTTGGAAGTCCATTTCAAATTTTGGCCACCCTTACCGTGAAGACGTTTTTCCTGATATCCAGCCTAAATTTGCTCTCTGTCATTTTGTGACCATTGTTCCTTGTTACCCCAAGAGGCACCCTGGTGAACAGAGAATCTCCGATCCCTTGCTGCATCCCCCTAATGAATTTGTAGGCGGCCATAAGATCACTTCTCAGTCTTCTCTTGTGGAGGCTGAAGAGGTCCAGGTCCCTCAGACTCTCCTCACAGGGCTTATCCTGTAAGCCCTTGACCATACAAGTGGCCCTCCTCTGGACCCTCTCAAGTCTTATCAACATCCTTCTTGAAGTACATTGCCTTGAAGTACGGCGCTCCAAGATCCCTTTCCATTCTTTGCAATCTAAGCTAATGCAAGCTGGCAATAATCAAATTCACCTCAAGAATTGGGATATTGCAAGCTCATCACCCCAATGCAAAACCACTCCAATGCTTGACTTCTTCCCAGTACCTTGTCCCCTGTCCCTCCTTCCCTGCCCCCAACCACTTACTCTAGCTTCAGCCTCCAAACCCACTCTCCACCAGTGTAGCCAAAGTTTTCTTCTGTCAAACTACTTATCACATACAATGTTGCACCATGTTGAAGTATCCTTTCAATCCCTTTTATGGGATGCCAACACTACAAGCCTCTTCCATAAGCTCTATTCAAGAACTCCTGTGTATCCCAGCATACTGTCATAAACTGCTTCAAGATAGTACTTGGTAAATTCTAGCTTTCTGAAAAAAGCTACATTTCTCTATTCTAATCCAGTCTAAAAGTTGATCTTGTTCTTTAACCTCAAGAGCTTTCCTTCTCTGATATTCACTTCACAATGTATTTTATAAAGGAGTAAATCATATACCCCCTTAACTTTCATTTTGCTAAGTTAAACAAGCCTAGATCTTTACATCATCCTATTTTATGATAGGAGATTATAAGGATATGGAAAACCTATCAGACCTTCTCTGTGCCTGTTCCAATTTCAATTAACCCTTTTAGAACCCAGGTGACTGGAACTGTTCAAAATATTCTAAACGAAGTCTCACCACTGCCTTGTACAATGGTGCTTCTATTTCCCTCTACTAAAATCCCATGCCATTAGCTGACATCCATACTTCCCTCTTCCTCTATCCTTCAAATCAATTAATTCTCCATATATTATTTCACTTAATATAGAAGATTAAGAACTTTGCTGAAGGAGGGACAGCTTCAAGTAGAGCATAAAAAGGAAATCTGCAACTGATTTTGAAAATTGACAAGATTCTTCTGCAAGACTGTAGAGCAGTTTCCAGAATAAATTCTATTTCCAACCTCAGAAGCTAAAGAAAAAAGATGAGTTTTCCAAGATCAAGACTGCCGCTAGTTGTCATTAATTCACTCAAGGGAAAGAATACTGCCTATGGAAAAGGTTCCTTTACTTTCCATCCCCGCTGTGCTCAAAAGCTTGCAAACAATGCCACCCACTAACAAATTCAGTTTCTATCACAGGGATTTTTCCCCCTCTTTTCAAACAGAAATTAAACCCTTTGGATAAAAAGGCAAAACTTATCTTTTTACTTGTTACTTTTTACTTCAGAATAAAAATGGGTTTCAAGAATAGCACAAGATGTTTAAACTTGCTTCCTTATGCAACAGTGAGAAAGGATCAAGAAATGAGCCAAGGTTTTTGACAGTTCTATTTAAAAATATGATTCAATCAATGCTAAGGTAAAGCCTTTTCATGACATTGTGATGGGAAGATACAAAATGCATCTTAAATTACATTTTCCCTTCAATACACAAACTACTGATTGAACAAGAATACTGAATGTGAACACTTAACACTGGGAGTTATTTTAGCTAATTATTTTACTTGTTTTTTTTAATTAATATTTTAAATCTCTATTCAATGCTACACCTTCCTACTGCTCATATTATTTAGAAGTTTAAAAAAATGTAGAACATTTTATATTAATAAGAGCCTATTGCAAGTAATATAAGAAGTCACTTTTCTTAAGTCACTTTTCTTAAGTGTATAATATTGGTAAAGGGCAGCAGATATTATAAAGGGATGCTTTCAAAAGACTGCTTCCTTTTGCCATTCAAAGCAGGAGTTGCAAAAAGACACATGAAGGGAAATGCCAAGGTCTTATATTAGACAACTGGTTTTCAGTAAGGTTACAGGTTAAAAAAAATTATGATGGTCACGTTAAAAAAAGCTGTTTTCTTATGAGCCTCAGATTAGGTCAAGGCCACCAAAATGCAACAATTTTCAACAGGTGAACTATAGGAGTAAGTGGAAAAAAATAAGTCAAGTATGTTAAAGAAGACAAACTTAAAATTCTTATAAAAAAAAAATTCTATTCAACTTCTCTGAATGACTTCAGTACAAACCAACATGATTGTAAGAAGTATATTATTAGAATACTTATCCAAGTTTATACGAAAGATCAGAACTCTCCTAAGACTCCTAACAGTTTGCTCATGTGCAAAGTTGCCTCTGTATCAAGGTTTGTCTTGTCCCCCAGGAAGTGAAGCCGCATGCATTCACCTAGTACAGTGGTGATCAAGGTTTGGCCTTGTGCACCAGGATTGGGTCCTGCCCCTATGCACTAGAATCAGGCCAACCCAATATGGCACACAGAGCCACAGCCTGTGGGGCTCTGCATGGACCAGTGAAGGGGGTTTGAGCACCCCAGTCTAGCAGAACAAAGAGCTGATAGATATAGTCTCCCTCTGGCCAAAAGGAGGCTCTTTATCTGAGGTGCATGTAGAGCAAAAAAAGCTTTAGACTGTACTCTATTAAAAATTTAAGAGGATATTCATATCAGAACATGGAAATATGAATTCTTCTGTTCACTCACAAATCATTTGTTTTCCTATGCAATGCAATAAAAAAACAAACAAACTACGGAACATGCTTTAAAAAGCACATGAAACAGCTTGAAAGTCTACATCAGTAGCACATATTTGAATTTTTTTTATTTGGCAATAGGGAAAAATTAAGTTGGCAATGACTACTCCATTCTGAAACTGGACATTCAGATGTAATTTTGACTATTGGATACGTGCAAAGACTGACTGGATGCAGATCCAATCACCCTCTAAACTTATGCAGATCCACTTTGCTTCCAGCCCCTAGTACAGAAGCCCGCTGAATTCAAGCACTGTTACCTGGTTTCTGCACTTCTATGTCTTCCAGGTCCTTGTTTAATAGGTTTGACATTTCTAAAGATTTTAACTCTTCCAAGGTGCTTTCTTTCTCCTCCTCTTGATTCTTAATGCTCTCTTCATCTTCAGTATGAGAGTCAGATTCTTCTGACTCAAGGAAAATCTGACCAGCTACCACTGGGGTTCCAGTGGAGTGGTCCTTCACTTGTTCTTCTGAAGATAAGGAAGTCTAAAGAAGGATAGATAGCAGAATTTGAGAGAGAGAGAGAAAGAAGACAACTAACCCTATCACCAAATACCACTATTTACTATTCATTTTCTGCCTTTTTGGATTCTCAAAAGAGTTAACAAATTAGTAGTACATTACTCGTAACAGTGGAGGTTTAAAGATATATTAAAATCACAAACTCATTAGACCCTACCTACCACTTACTATTAATTTCTTAACAATCCCCTCAAACTATCCTCACTCCACCCCACACTCCTACCACCACTGTATCCATGCACTAGTAATATTACTCAGGTATTCTTCTTTTATGCACATATGTATATGCAAGTTCACCCAGAAAAATATAACTCTCATTTGTACTGTTTCAGAACGAAATGTTTAAAAGCTAAAGCATTCTAAAACTGTGAAAAAGTCACAGGAAAAAAAGATAACAAAAGTCACAGGAAAGTCCTGTTGAAGAAGATAAAACTTCTCATCCTCTACAACCAGTTTTAAAGCCTTATGTCTTATATCTTCCATCTTAATTCTAACAGGCTTTTCTGTTATATCTATGCAAAAGTTTTATAAGCAGTTTTGTAAGAACAAATAAAATGGGATGCTCACCTTTGATTCCAACGGCTCATCCTGACTTCCATCTTCATCTAGAAAGAATTTTAAAAGTTAGTTCAAAAACACTTTTAATTATGCAATTTCCTCAAAATAGAAAAGAAGATATTTGGTTAGGATAAAATGCTAGTATAGCATTATTCTGTGATATACAACTCTAAGTTGCTAACTCACCTATGAAGAATTCTAGTTAGAACTATCCAGAAGTAGCCCGTTTAGACTACCAACCAGTAAAGGCATCAAACTATGAAAAAGCCACAATACTGATCAAGGAATCCAGGTTAGTACTTTTCTACTTAAATACATCTTGTTAAAGAGATGCCAGTTCAGTCTGCTTAGTTAGCTTATCAAAGTTCTGGGGTAGAGACTAAAGTTGTTCACCTAGAACATGGCGAGCAATTATTTTGGGCAGAGGGCTGCTTACTGAGTTTTGGCAAGTCATCGTGGGCCACATGACAGGCAGCCAGGGGCTGATAACTATTAATTTTCTAAATTTTTTAGGGGCTCCACGGGCTGGATAGAATGGCCTGGCGGGCCGTATTCAGCCCGCGGGCTGCATTTTGCCCGCTCCTGACCTAGGACAATGTGTAATTATCAAATCAGATGCAAAACTGGCCTTCACTTATTTAATTTATACACCACCCTTCCCAACAGAGACTTAGAATGATTTATAAAAAAAGAGAACAGAACAACGTCAAAAGCAGGTACAATACTAATATAAAACAACCCTCCTAAACAATATTTCAGTTTAGCTTTGTTTGCCAGATGCCCACCTAAGTGGGAAAGGTCTCATAGAGCTTCTGAAAAAGCCCAAACTTTGGAAATGGAACCAATTTCAGCCCGTTCAGCCATGGCGACAAGAAGGTCTGAGGTCAGACTAAGTTGGAGGAAAGAGGAGAAGGAAGTCTAGAGAACAGTCAGTTGATCAGGTTTTGTTTGTTATTGTGATTTCAGCTGAAATTGCTGAAATTCCACTAATCCATTTTGCAGCTTCACTTTTCTTCTGTAAATTTCTGCAGTTCTCATTTAAATTTTCCTTAGATCCAGCATTGCTACTATATCTACAACCCTACTTTAAACAATTGCCTTAGTATTTGCACTGGTCTATTTGAACAAAAGCCTTATAGTTGTCAAATGTAAAGCGTGACCCTTCCCCAAGGATGATTTGAAGATATTTGAACATGGATTGCATCATCTCTAAGCATAACATACATCTTTGCTTTTAAGGTTTTTAAAAGACTTCTTCCCTAATACAGCAGTACAGCAATTTTTTTAAAGCATTAAAAAGGTTAACTTAACAAAAGTAAATCTGAACGCTTAGAGCGGTTGTTCCCAAGACACCCCTCATTAAACTCAAAGCACCTCCTGAAAAAAATGCCAGCTCTTATTTTTCATTTGTTTTTTGACCATGGAAAAGATAATGGAACAAATTTTTTATTGCAAAGAACTCAAACACCATGACAGGTCAGAATATTGTGGACATTATGGATTCTTACTTGAAATCTCTGGGTCTATCTTGTGAACCATGTGTAGATATTTGCACATCTAATGGTGCTAATATTGTGTGGTCACAGTCAGAACCTCCTACTTTTAGTTTAGTCCCACCTCTTACCATGCAAGGTGACTATCAGTGTTTGACCATCAAGAACGATGCCCACAATGGCAGTAGCAAACTATGAAGTTAAAGAGTAAAAGAAAGAAGATAGCTACATTAAAAAAAAAAAAAAAAAAGACTATAATGCTTTTCTACTTGAAGGATCACACATATAGGAATTACTTCTCCCACTTTAAGGACAGCACCTTGGGAGCGACAGATATTATAACAGCATTCACAGTTCTAACTGCTCAACAGTTTAAGGAACAAAATGAAAAAAATCACCATGGAGCAGTGGTGCTCAACCTTTTTGTCTCACAGACTAGATGGGTGCTGTCCAGTCTGTCCATGGGCTGGATCTGGCCAGTGGGCCCAATCTGGTGCAGGGTGGGTCTAGCAGGGCCTGATCCAGCTGCACAGAAGGGGGCAGAGAACATCTTGGCTCTGATCCAGCTAAGTGGAAGAAGGGGGCCTTGCCTAGCCCCAACCCAGCCCTGCAGGGCGAGAAGGGCATGGCCTGGGGTCCCCACCCAGCCCTGCGAGGCTTGGGAATATGGCAGCAGAAGAGGGATGGCAATATTAATTGCCAGTGCTCCCCTGCCACCAAATTTCCTGATGCTTGGGGAGCCCCATGGACTGGATGCCAAGACTCTGTAGGCTGGATTTGGCCTCTGGGCTGGGGGTTAAGCAGCCCTGTCCTGAGATTATTTGAAATGTAGGATAAGTTAGGAAGCAGAATGTAATTAGGGACTGGAATTTAGGACTGAGCTGGCCAATTGCTAATCCCTTGAGGGCCACATGCCCTGGGGATGCACCTTCAGGGGCTGCACCAGGGCCACATGGGGGCAAGCATGGGCCACTGAGTTGTGGATGCTCCCTTCACCACTGCACTGGGTACCACCCCCCACCCCCCAAAGGCACCAACCAACATGCGGGCATGATTCCACACCCCCCCCACACACACACACAACATCCCCATGAATGGCCCCCGACTCACCCCTAGCTCCCTGTCCTGTGCCACACCTCTAGACTCCATGCCGCAGAGGCAGAAAGCAACAGCTAGAGCAGGGACAGGGATCATGGAGTAATGAGGGGAGTCATGGATAGCAGGAGCCTGGGGATTGCAACTTAACCACTCACAAGGTCTGTGGGCCACCAGCTGGACAGCCTTGGTTGCAATAACCAGGTTAAATTCTTATTTGAGAGTAACATTGTCGCCTATCCCAAGAACAAACCTGCAGAACAAACTAGCTTCACCAGGGGAAGGGGCCGCTTTGAGTGGAGAGGATGCTTCACCAGCACGCAGGGTAACAAGAGGAAGGGAAGCACAGGTAAGCATCAATGTCCGAGGAGCAGGGGGCCATGCCCTGGGAGTGGGAGGAAGGCACGAGCACCCTCAGGAGGCCTCAGGTGCCTCTACACTAATGCTCGTAGTATGGGGTGTAAGCAGGAGGAACTGTGCCTCCTGATTGCAAGTAAGAATCCAGGCTTAGTAGGGCTCACAAAAATCTGGTGGGACCCTACCTACGACTGGGCGGTGGGCATTCGGGGGTACACCCTATATAGAAGAGACAGGACAGAGAGGAAAGGTGCGGGGTTGCACTCTATGTCAAAGAGCACCTCACATCATCAAGGATTAGCTTTGGGTTAGAGGAGGGTTGGGCAGACACTATGGGTCAAACTACAAGGGGGGGCGCGGTGAAAGGGACCTTATGGTGGGTGTCTACTACAGACCACCCAACCAGGGGGAAGAGCTAGACCAGGACTTCTCCAGTCAGCTTATGAAGGCGGTTAGGTCAAGGGATGTTATTGTCATGGGTGACCTAAACTACTAAGACATTTGCTGGGAGGAGCAGACAGCCAGGTCTGACCACTCACGTAGGTTCCTGGCTGTATTACAAGACCTTCACCTTATCCAGGAAGTGCACTGCCCCACTAGGAGTAACACCTTGCTGGACCTGGTCCTGGCCACAGGGGATGACCTGGTGAGGGGACTGCAGGTCCTTGACCACCTGGGCAATAGCGATCATCACCTGCTGGATTTCATTATCCAACGCAGGGCGTCTAGGGCTCACACCAAAGCTAAAGCCCTTGACTTCAAAAGGGCCAACTTCAATGAGTTTAGGAGACTAGTGGGGGAGGCACTAAGGGCCCAGAAGGTAGAGGAGATGGGAGTCCAAGAGGGATGGTCGTACCTTAAGGGGGTGATCCTCCAGGCCCAAAGGATAACAGTCCCTGAGAGAAGCAAGGGGGGTAAGAGTGCTCAGAAACCCCCTTGGCTCAGCAAGGGCATTCAGAAATGCCTGAGGACTAAAAGGGAGGCATACAACCAGTGGAAGGGAGGAGCTATCACCAAGGAGGAGTACTCCTCCTCAGCCCGGGAATGTAGGAGGGCTATTAGGAAGGCCAAGCCAGAGATGGAACTCAGGCTAATGTCCAGGATTAAGGACAACAAAAAGTCCTTTTTCAAGTACATTGGGAGCAAGAAGAGGGCACCAGGCAACACAGGGCCCCTGCAAGACACAAACGGTAATCTGGTGGCCAAGCCAGACAAGAAAGCTGATATTTTTAACGGTTTCTTTGCCTCTGTTTTCCTGAACCGGGACCAGGATATCCCACCTATCAGAGGTAGGGACAATCTTGGGGATAGCTCTATCAAGCCTTCAGTGAGTGCAGATGTAGTTAGGGATCTTCTGGAAGGGCTAGACATTTTTAAATCTGCAGGTCCAGATGCCCTCCACCCAAGGGTGTTGAGGGAGCTGGCAGGGGTCATCCTGGAGCCCTGGCCCAGCTGTATGAGCATTCGTGGTCATCTGGCTAGGTGCCGGGGGAGTGGAAACTCGGTAATGCGGTCCCTATTTTTAAGAAGGGGAGAAAGGAGGACCCAAGTAATTATAGGCCTGTAAGCCTCACCTCGGTGTTCGGGAAGATCTTGGAGAGAATCATCAAGGAGCACATGTGGGGGGCCTGCAGGGGAGGTCATGCTCAGGGGCAATCAGCATGGGTTCACCATAGGCAGGTCTGGCCAGACCCACCTGATTGCCTTTTACGACCAAGTAACTAAACCCTTGGATGATGGTGTCACTGTGGACAGTCTTTCTAGACTTTAAGAAGGCCTTTGACACTCTCTCTCACCCCATCCTCATCAATAAATTAAGTGACTGTGGCATTGATGCCCGCACAGTTGGATGGGTAAAAAACTGGCTGATGGGGCGCACCCAGAGAGTAGTGGTGGACGGGTTGTACTCAACCTGGTGAGATGTGAGCAGTGGGGTACCCCAGGGCTCAGTCCTCGGGCCTGCACTGTTTAACATCTTCATCAGCGACTTGGACGAGGGGGTGGAAAGCACATTGTCCAAGTTTGCTGATGACACTAAGATGTGGGGTGAGGTGGGCACACTTGAAGGGAGAGAGAGGCTGCAACTAGATTTAGACAGACTACAAAAGTGGGCCGACAAGACTAGGATGGGGTTCAACGTAGACAAATGCAGGGTGCTGCACCTTGGGAGAAGGAATCCACAAAATACATACAGGCTGGGGAGTTCCCTTCTTGAAAGCACAGAGGTGGAAAGGGATCTTGGAGTCATTATTGACTCCAAGATGAAC